AGAATAAAGTGGCAAAATCCCACCACCTTTTATTTTTGGGATTTTTCCCATGAATAAAAAGCGGCGGGATTTTGTCGCTTTATTCATGGGTTAATTGCAGGATAATGGTGACATTGGGGGACATCGCCTGAAAATCATCCCACTCTTGCAGGATATTTTTGGGATTAAATATGCTTTATATATGGGAGGAGGATGCTTGCCTCCCATGTGATAAAGTCCTTTGTCATTTAACAAAGGCTATTCCTATTCAGTTTTAGGGAACGGAAGTATCTTTTTAAAGAAAGGGCTTTTAAGAAAATGCAGTACTGTTTTTATTCAATTGCTTTTATTGCTTCAATTGTATTGTCTCAATTGTTTTTAAACTGCTTTCTGTAATTTTTAGCTGCCTGTTTTAAAATGTTTTTTAGCTGTGAGTTCCATTTCAATGTTGACCTTTGGTATGTTTTTTAAGAATGGTGTTTTTATCATAAGACACCTTGGGCCCTAGATTTATGGGAAAGGTGGGTTATAAATAGAGCTAATAATAATAACAAGACTACTGATAGGCAAAGATCATATTATTTAAGCAAGTATTTGACAATTAACTGGTTGAACAACAGTCTCTTTTAAGAGAGGGGGGTAATGTATTTTTTATTCTTCTTGCTGCTATATGCAACATAGGGAGCTGGGTATGTTTAGCCTGGAGAAGAGAAGGTTAAAAGGTGATATAATAGCCCTCTTTAAATATTTGAAGGGATGTCATATGGAGGATGGAGCAAGCTTGTTTTCTGCTGCTCCAGAGAATAGGACCTGGAGCAATGGATGCAAACTACAGGAAAAGAGATTCCACTTCAACATTAGGAAGAACTTCTTGCCAGTAAGAGCTGTTTGACATTGGATTACATTGCCTCGGAGGATGGTGGGCTCTCCTTCTTTTTAAACAGAGGTTAGATGGCCATCTCTCAGGAGACCTTGGATGGTGTCTTCCTGCATGGCAGAAGGGCTTGGAGTGGATGGCCCTTAGGGTCTCTTCCTACTTTATGATTCTATGAAAGAATTCCAAAGAAGCAGAGCCCACCACCTTTTTCCCAAAGCAGCCTATTCCACCACCAAACCGCTCTTACAATAATAAAAAAAAAAATTGTTCCTAATATTTAGTTGAGCCATCATGGCAAAATGGTTTGAGTGTTGGCTTATGACCCTGGACACCGAGGTTCGATTCTCAGCTTGGCCATGAAACCCATTGCGAGACCTTGGGAAAGTCACAAGCTCTCAGTCTCAAGGGAAGGTCATAGCAAATCTCCTTTGAACAAGTCTTGCCAAGAAAACCCTCTGATGCCCTATGGTCACCATAAGTCAGAAATGACTTCCAAAGCAGTGTCTTCCACTGTCGAACAGCTCTTACTCTCAGGAGGTCCTTCCTAATGTTGAGCTGGAATCTCTTTTCCTGTAGCTTGCATCCATTGCTCTGTTCTCTGGAGCAGCAGAAAACAAGCTTGCTCCATCCTCAATATGGCATCTCTAGAAATACTTAAAACAGGACCATCATATCACTTCTTAACTTTCTCTTCTCCAGGCTAAACATACCTAGCTCCCTCGGTCTCTCCTCATAGGACTTCATGGTTTCCAGATCTAGACGTTCTTCCTAATGTTTAGATGGAATTACAGATCTTGTGCTGTAGTTTGCATCCATTGCTCTGTGTCTTATTCTCTGGAGCAGCAGAAAACAAGCTTGCTCCATCCTCAACATGACACCCCTTCAAATATTTAAAAATGTCCATCATGTCCCCTCTTAACCTTCTTTTCTCCAGGCGAAACATCTCCAGCTCCCTAAGTTACACAGAGCAGCAAGAAGAAGAAGAAAATGTTTCAGTAGGGTCTCTTTTCTTATAATTTAAATCCACTGGTTCATGTTGTAGTCTCTGGAGACGCACAAACAAGCGGGCTCCATCTTCTCCTTGACCTCCCTTCAGATATTGAAAAATGGCTCAGTCATGTCACCTCTTGGTCTTCTCTTCTCCAGACTAAACCTCAGGCAGGGCTAGGAAATCATCCTACCTGAAACCATGGAGAATTGACAGTACTAGGCTAAACAGACTCCCAATTCAGCTGATTCAGCTCCCTATGTTCCTATGCCCATGCCAAGGCTTTAGCAATGCCCCACTGAACCTGTCCCCAAAGCTGACTGTGTCCACTCTGCCTACCTTTTTAATTTCCCGGAGGCTGTGCACCTCAACACTGGTCAGCCCCGGCACATGCAGTTGGCCGCTGCCATCCGGATTCAATTTGATGTCCAGTTTCTCTTGGGAATCCTTGGCAAGGAGATCCCTAAAGAGAAGGAGAAAAAAGGTAGTTTCTTGTACTGCCCTGCTTGGAAAGATAAGCTTTCAGGACAACTAAGGTCTCCTGAAAGACCCAGCATGGTGTAGTAGTTTGAGAATTGGACTATGACCCCGGAAACCAAGGGTGCATCTACACTGTACAAATAATGCAGTTTGACCTCACTTTAAGTGCTGTAGCTCCATCTGGGATTTGCAGACTTACAAGGTCTTTAGACTTCTCTTCCAAAGAGTAACTGGCATCTCCGTTGTTGTTTTGTGCCTCCAAGCCATTTTTGATTTATGATGATCCCAAGGTGAACCTATCACAAGGTTTTCTTGGCAAGTTTCTTCAGAGGGGATTAGGCATTGCCATCCTCTGAGGCTGAGAATGTGTGACTTGCTCAAGGTAACCCAGTTGGTTTTTAGCTCTAGTTGGGAATCGAACCCCAATCTCCAGTCATAGTCGAATGCTCAAATCAATACACTGTGCTGCTGCCACCTCACAAAACTACAAATCCCAAGATTCTGTAAGATGGAGCTATGCCTATTAAAGTAGTGTCATGCTGTATTATTTCTATAGTGTAGAAGCATTCCAGGAGTACCCAGATTGTTGGGGGGCAATCAGCTCACAGTTGTAAACCGCTTAGACATCCCATAGCGTGATATGAAGCGGTATATAAATGAAGCTGCTTTGCTTTGCAGGTTTTGACTCTCCCACTCCGCCCTGGGAACCCTTGGAACGGCATGGCCTTGGGCAGGTCCCACTCTCTCAACCTCAGAAGAAGGCAAAAACAAACCCCTTCAAAACAAATCTTGGCTAGAAAATCCTGTGATAGGGTCACCTTAGAGTTGCCACAAGTCAGAAACAACTTGAAGGGTCATTTCACATTGTGCAAGGCTAGCACTTTGATCCCACCTGAACTGCCAGGGCAGCACCCTATGTACTTCTGGAGATTGTAGTTTAGGAAGAAATCTGGCTGAGAATCCTAAACACCTCAGCAAACTACAAACCCCAGGATTGCATATGATGCAGTCATGGCAGCTAAAGCTTATCAAAGTCCTATGTGTGTAGTGTGAAAGAAGTCCAAGGCTGCATCTACACTGTAGAAATAATGCAATCTGACACCATTTTGAGCACTGGGATTTGCATTTTTGCAAGACTTTTTTAGTCTTCCCTGCGAAAATGTGCCGGTGTCTCACCAAAATATAAATCCTGGGATTCTTTAGGATGGAGAGCATGGCAGTTAAAGTGGTGTCAGGCTGCATTATTTCTATAGTATAGGATGAACCTCAAGACTGAAACCGATGCTTCTTTACTATTGAAAAACAGCTAATTCAGCCAAAGCAAAAGATCTTGTGGCACCTTCAGGTTTTGTGCGACATATGCCATGATGAAGTCCAGATAACTTCAAATGAATGCAAAAAACAAACAAACAAAAAGCGCAGTAGGCAGTTATTTATATCCAGTATTAGTTAGGGTTTGGGATGAGGGCTGCAAGGAATGGCAATGAAAAAGATACTGGTAGTTGGCAACGGACTTTGGGCACAACCCAGGCATCATTATCAACAGCTGCTTGGGACAAGCCAGGACTGAAGTTTGCAGAATGTAGGAGGAAAGCGGTAGGAGCTCTGTAGATAGGTTCCCAACTAAGGGTTGCAGACTGCCAGAAATAGTGCAAATTGAGTCCACTTTTAGGGTTAGGGTTAGTGCTAGGGAATCATGGGGATTGTTTTCTGAGACATTGAGCCTTCTCTGTCAGAGAGCTCTGGTGCCACAATAAAATACAGTTCCCATCATTCCCTAACCCTAACCCTAACCCTAAAAGTGGACTCAATTTGCACTATTTCTGGCAGTCTTCAACCCCCCTAAATGTGTGGATCTTGTGCTAAGAGAATCCACAAATCCACGCTTCTGATGTCTGCAAGATCAACTGATCCAAAAACTGGATAGCTCTTTCTCCAGTTGACCTCAAAGCACAGATTGGTATCTTCATTTCCATAATGCAGTTAAGTATTCCTAAAGCCCTTTTCTTTCCTTGTCAGTTACACCCAGGCCCTCCAGACACAACCTCAAAGGGGTTAATACATTTTATTCTCTGGCAATTCACTTCTCCGAATTGCATAAGTGGTAGCATCACCCTTTCAGTTGTGTGTTGTGTGTTTTCTCTCCTCCAGGGCTGCATGCATCACCCTTTAGTCTATTATTACGTGAACAAGGGAATTAAAGTGGAACTTCCCTAAGCTCTTCTAGGGGAAAGAAAGAGTTTACAGCAACATCTGGCTGGTTGCTTTCATTGACTTTGACACTGACTTTGGCCAAAGAGACTTTGAGTTGTGTATTCAATGTTAAAACCATTTGTCTTGCTTAATATATCTTGCAGACAAGACAACACTGGGCTCAGATCCAAAATTCCTAACATCCTTGGCTTTTATTTCCGGAAATCTTGTTTCTGGTCCCTATGATATCCCTGAAAGACAGGTCCAACTCCTCCTTGAATCTAAAGGAAAGACCCAGAAAGGTCTCCAGAGGTGAGGAGAACAAGCCTTGCTGCTTTGTAGAGCTGCTGTTGTTGTGTGCCTTCCAATAGTCTCTGACTTATGGCAACCTATCATGGGGTTTTCTTGGCAGGTTTCTCCACAGGGAGGGTTGCCATTGCCATTTTCTGAGGCTGAGAGAGTGTGACAAGGTCGTCCAGTGGGTGCCCGAGCTAGGATTCGAACCCTGGTCTCTAGAGTTCCAGTCCAGTACTCAAACCACTACACCACTTGCAAACAAATCCAGGATGAAATAATACAAATGAAGGGAAATTGTGCATATTTATTAATGAATAAGAATTTATATTCACGATTATGATCAGATAACTTGAGAGAGCCAGCGGTTTGTGTATTGCATTATAACTCTGGAGACCAGGGTTGGAATCCATGGAAACCCACTGGATGACCTTGGGCAAATCACACTCTCTCAGCCTCAGAGGAAGGCAAAGGTAGACACACCCCCAAACTAATCTTGCCAAGAAAAACTCATGATAGACTTGCCTTAGGATCACCCATAAGTTGGAAACCCAAACAAGCACAACAATTTGAGAAACCCTGGTGCAGATGTGCGATAACTTGAAGCCATGTTCACACTAAGCTTATTTTTATTTTTATTTATTTAATTTCTACGCTGCCTTTCTCCCAGAAAGGGACCTAAGGCGGATCACAAATAAAAACTCTTTAAAAACGTACTACAATAAAGCAATTAAAACATCACATAAGAACAATATAAAATTGCAAACATTAAAACCACAATATTACTCTGCTTTAATAAACAGTGACTGGGGGGTCCATCTACACTGTAGAAATAATGCTGTTTGACACCAGTTTAAGTGCTGTGGCCCCATCCTATGGCATCCCGAGACTGGTAGTTTTACAAGGTCTTCAGCCTTCTCTGACAAAGAGTGTGGGTGCCTCACAAAACTACAAATCCAGCTTGTTTGCAAGAATGTCATGGGGAACCTTGTCAAAGGCCTTACAGAAATCAAGATATACTATATCCACAGCATTCCCTTCATCTACCAAGCTGGTAATTTTATCAAAAAAAGAGATCAGATTTGTCTGGCATGACCTGTTTCTTTGAAACCCATGTTGACTTTTTGTGATTATGGAGTTACCTTCCAGGTGTTCACAGACTCTCTGTTTAATGATCTGCTCCAGAATCTTTCCCGGTATTGATGTCAGATTAACTGGACGATCATTGTTGGGATCCTCCATTATTTTATTGAAAATATTTTAAAAATACATACCATACATTCCAAACAGCAAATCTTGATTTTGCCATTTTATATAAGAGACACCATTTTACTACACCATTGCATTTAAGAGAACTTGAGCATCCACCGATTTTGGTATCCATGGGGGATCCTGGAAACAAACTCCAGCGGATACCAAGGACCCACCGTATTTCTTTTTACCTTATAAGCCAGGGGTAGGCAACCTTTCCCCTTTAAGGGCCGAAGGACTTCAGCTCCCAGAAGCCTCAGCCATGTTGGCCAATTGTCCCATGTTGGCCAATAGCTCCTGGGATTCTGGGAGCTGAAGTCCCTCGGCCCTTAAAGGGGAAAGGTTGCCTACCCCTGTTATAAGCCATCTTCAATCCCAGGGGCATAAATAAAGCAATGATAAGAAAGTGGTAAAAAAGGCAAAATATGATTAAAGTGAAGAATAAATAGATAGATGAAGTGAAGAATAAATAGATAGAAATCTGCACCTTTGGAAGAGAGCTGGAAAAGAGAGAAAGGACTATACCAGACCGAATGCAAGAACTTTTACTAATATATTGCTTAGCAGAAATTCTACCAAGTACTAAGTACCAAGAAATACCAAGTGCCCACTGTATATTCACATCTATTGCTTCTCAGGAACAATAACACAAGGCCCTTTTGCACTACAAAATCATATTGCACTTATTCCACTTTAACTGCCATGACAATATCCTGTAGAATCCTGGGATTTACAGTTTTGTGGAGGGCTCTGCCAAAGAGACAGCGTGGGATAGTGGTTTGAATGCTGGACTAGGACTCTGGAGGCCAGGGTGCGATTCTCCATTCAGCCAAGAAACCCACTGGGAGACCTTCAGCAAGTCACACACTCTCAGCCTCAGGGCAAACCTCCTATGAACAAATCTTGCTGAGAAAACCCCAGCATAGGGTTGCATTAGGGTTGCCATAAGTCGGAAAAGACTTGGAAGGCACACAAAGCCACGGGGATTAAAATGGCACCACAGTGCGATGGCTGTGTAGTGTGGATGGACTATGTAGTATGCACGCCCCCCCTCTTACCTGATCACCTCGTTGTAGATCTCCACCATACTGAGGCTGACGGTGTATTTCCATGCCTCTTCCTTGGCTTCCATCTCCCGGTAGAGAGCTTGCAACGCTCGCTGGTTGATCCCGGGGTTTTCTGGGACACCCTGGAAGCAGAGAATGCCAAAGGAAAAGCTTTGGGTTCACCTGTCTCAAAGGAAGTCAGGGAGGAAGAGGGAGGGCCAGGTAGGATAAGCCTCAGCCTAACAACCTCTTCACTTGCAGACATCTCAGGTTGCATCTACACTGCAGAATTAATGCAGTTCAACACCGCTTTAACGGCCACGGCTTAATGCTGTGGATTTCTGGGGTTCATAGTTTTGTGAGATATTTAGTCTTCCCTGTCGGAGAGCTCTGGTGTCCCAACAAGCTACAAATCCCAGGATTTTATAGCACGGAGCCATGGCAGTTCAAGTGGTGTCAAACTGCATGAATTCTGTAGTGTGGCAGCAGCCTCAACCTCTCCACCTGAATCCTGCAATCCAAGTGGTTTCTCACTCTCCGCCTTCCCTTCTCACAGACCAGAGACTGCTGTATCTTTCCAGCTTCCCTCATTAATCCTTCATCAGCTGGAGACTCCTTTGACCAGGACCACCATCTCTGTGGGGCAATGGCTGGCACAGGTGGCACCAAAGAAGTGTAGAAATGGCCATGGCAGCAGGTATGAGGCTCATAAGCGAGCTCTTTTGGCATTGGGTAACTACCAGCCCAACCCACTGTTTGTCTGAGCTAGGGCACAGAGGTTAAATGCCTGTACGGCAGCCATTCACTCACAAATCATACGGTTGTGAGTTCGATACCAGCCAGGGGCTCAGGCTCAACTCAGCCTTGCATCCTTCCAAGGTCGCTAAAATGAGTACCCAGCCATGCCATTAACAACAGTATAATACCTATTCAACACAGAACAATACACAGTTTACATGGGAATAGCAGACAATATCCTTGATTGCATATCCTCCCACCCTGAAGCCATGCCATTAACAACAGAACAATACCGATTTAACACAGAACAATACACAGTTCACCTGGGAATCACTCCTCCCTACCCAGGGTCTCACACTATATATATTAGACCCGCTCTCTTCAATTCCAGTATTCTCTGAACATGCCAGCCACAGATATTGGCGAAACATCAGAAAGAAACTCTTGTAGAACATGGCTACACAGCCCGAAAAACCCACAAAAAACAATTAGCTTACACATTGTAAACTGCTTAGGGAGTGCTTAAGTGCACTGATAACCGATATAGAAATGTATTTGCTATTGCTATTGCTTATTTTTGCACTACATCTCGCAAAACACTCCCAACTAGCAATGGCCACTTGGGGGAAAGGGACCCTGGTGAAAGGTCTGGAAACCATAAAGCCCTATGAGGAGCGACTTAGGGAGCTGGGTATATTTAGCATGGAGAGGAGGAGGTTAAGGGATGAATAGGACATAATGGAGCAATGGATGCAAGCTACAGGAAAACTGATTCCACCTCAACATTAGGAGGAACTACCTGACAATAACAGCTGTTTGATGGTGGAAGACACTTTCTCAGAGAGTAGTGGAGTCTCCTTCTTTGAAGGCTGTTTTTAAACAGAGGCTGGATGGCCAGCTGTTGGGGTGCTTTGATTATGAGTTCCTGCATGGCAGAATGGGGTTGGACTGGACTGGATGGCCCTTGGGGTCTCTTCCAGCTCTATGATTCTGTGATTCTATGATCTATTGCAATTTCATTCAGATGTTTTGTCAGTGCTTTTGGAAGGGCTCCCTAAGGAAGGAGTTCCAAAGTCTGGGAGCAGCCACCAAGAAGGCCGTGGGACGGAGGGCTCCCCAATGCAGCGAGTTTGCCCTTACCTCCATGGTGTAGGTCTTGCCTGAGCCCGTCTGTCCGTAGGCGAAGATGCAAACGTTGTAGCCGTTCAGGCAGGACATGACCAGCGGCTCAATTTCCAGGAAGACCTGCACAGGGGCAGATGGCAAAGTTAAATATTGCAACCAATGCTCCTTCCCCAAAAAACTGTACTTGCAACAACTGCAGTGAGGCTGGGAGGCAAATGCAAGGAAGTGCAGGTGCATGTGTGCGCAAGTGACTAGAAAGAGACATTAAGAGGAACGGCAAAAGAAGGACCAATTGATAAATGCCAGCATAGTGTAGTAGTGGTTTCAGTGTTGGACAAGGACTCGGAAGACTAGAGTTCGAATCCTACCTCAGCCATGGAAGCTGACCATGGGCAAGTCACCCTCTCTCAGCCTCAGAGGAAGGCCACAGCAAACATCCTGTGAAGAAATCTTGCCAAGAAAACCATAGCATAAAGTTGATAATGGGAACCCACTGGGTGGCCTTGGGCAAGTCACACTCTCTCAGCCTCAGAGGAAGGCAAAGGCAAACTTTTTCTGAGCAAATCTTACCAAGAAAACCCCATGGGTGACCTTGGGAAAGTCACAACCTCTCAGCCTCAGAGGATGGCAATGACAAACCCCCTCTGAAGAAACTTGCCAAGAAAGCCCCTTTATAGGTTCACCTTTGGGCCACCACAAGTCGGAAATGACTTCAAGGCACGCAACAGCAGCAGCAAAGGGCCACCAGAAGTTGAAAATGAAAAGGGAGAAAGGATAATAATGATTTCCGACTTTTCAGCTAATGATTATACATTGCATGATATCTAACTTCCTTGATAGCCAATCTCTTGTCTTACGTTTCTACGGTTTATTGATCCTACTAATCTTCAACTATTGCTATTCCCCCGTTGTGCTTGCCAAAAAAACCCAACAATTATAGGTTCCCAATCTTTCTTAAAAGTACTTACAGATTTCTTAATTTCAATTAAGATAGTGACAAGCACCATCTGAAGAAATCTTGCAATAATTGAATGAAGTGAAGTGAACTTTATTGCTAAAAGGTATAAGCCATTGCAACTGCATATATTTTAAATAAAAG